TTGCAGCAAGCCCCGCCCCCAGGAATCGGGCCCCGCTCTTGCTAAAGCCGGCCCTGCGGTCTGTGCTATGCAGGAAGTCAGACTAGATGATCACAGTGGCCCCTTCTGGCCTTGGAATCTAGGAAGTAGACCACTGAGTTAGTGGGGGTGGCTTCTGGGATGCTTGGGGCTTGTGCAGCAGGTTCCCTAGCTGCAAGCACCCACCAGGGCAGTTTCTGCCGGCACAAGGAAAGGGGAGAGCAGGAGGAAGAATAAACCCAGGCCCTGGCTTGGCCAGGCCTATGGAGGAATAGCTCAGTGGTTTGAGCATTGGCCTGCTAAACCCAGGATTATGAGTTCAATCCTTGAGGGGGCCATTTAGGGAACTGGGGTAAAAATCTGCCTGGGGATTGGTCCTGATTTGAGGTTAGACTAAATGACCTCCTGAGGTCCCTTCCAACCCTGATATTCTATGATGTGTCAGACAGGCCTGTGTGTGTCTCATGTCTCTTAGGTAGCCTACAGTCCCTTCCATGACAGCAGGGTCCAGGCCAGGATGTTGAGGGAACCTCCTGGTGACCATAGGCAGCTGGGGCTGTAGTGTCAGGCTGAGAGCAAGAGTGAGTCCTGTGGCCTGTCTGTGACCTTGCACAAGAAGTCCCTTTATGTTCATTGCAGCCCAGCCCTGTCCACTGTGTTGGACAACCCAGCCTTGAAGTCTCCCAGGGGAGGAGGCAGGGGCCTTTGCTCTCCATTGCACCCAAAGACACCGCAGGGGCAGTGGAGCAGAATCCTGGTCCCGCCCAGGGCTTTGTGCTCCCTCCACTACTTGCTATTCCATGTGTCCACCTGATAGCAGCACAGCCACATGTTACAGATTCCCTGCGGCTGTACCAAAGGATGGGAAGAGGGGATGGCACCAAATAGATGGGCATTGTGCCCCGAGAGAGCAGTGGTGCCCGGGGTTCTCCACTCCCAGCAGGTGAGCAAGTGGGCAAGGGTTGGACCCCAGGAGCAGACAGTGGGCGATTCTTGCTCACACCCAGGGCTGAATACGGGATCAAGACACAATCTGCTCCAATGATCAAGGCCCTTGACTCAGTCTTTGTCCTCTTATGACTCACTGTAGCAAATGGGAATGGTCTGTGAGCACTAATGGGGCAGGCTGCCCTATTGCACGTCCATAGCCAGTCCCCCTGCACTAGCACTAACCCTAGCACCGACATGCAGAGAACTGTGCTGCCCCAGGCACATGGTGCAGCAGCCCAGAGTGCGCACTGGCCACCCACAACAGGAGTTTCATTCCCACAGCTCCAATGTTGCAAACGCAGGAATTGCAGAATTTGGGTGACCCCCCAGCTGCCAGCACAGCCACACACGCAGGGTGCCAGTGCTACAGGCATTGCCAGCACCTCCAGGACTGACAGGCAACTGGTCCCACTATCCAACAATTCCTCCATGGGCTTGCTGCGTTCTCAGAGCTGCTCGAGAAGGCTTGCCCATTACTGCTTTGCCCAAGTTACCAGCACCCTGCAGTACAAGAGCAGACTGCAGTGGGCCCAGCCAGGGGCTGTGTGTGGTGCAGGCCCAGTGCAGACATGCTACTGCACAGGAGACCCAGCTCCTTGGTCACCAGCGCTTTCCACTCCCCACGGGTGGTGGAACCCATGAGTCCAGCTCAGCAGCTTGGCCCCAGCAGGGCTGGAAGGTGTCACCTTCTCTGGTTCCTGCTAGGGGCAGGAGGCCTGGGCCATGCCAAGTGCCAGCCCTGCAACCCCGTGTGAATTCCCGCTAACACCACAATAGAGCTAGTGAGGGACCCTGCCCGCTCCTGGCTGCCCTGGGCCTCTGGAAGGGCTGAAATGGGTACAGCTACCACCTAGAAGCAGCCCTGGGGGGAAGGGGAGCCTGAGTCTTACAGCCCAGAGATTGGAGAAGGGGGCTCCATGCTGCCCCAGCCCTCAGGAGCAGGAGACGCTGCTCCCCCACCCCACTGCAGCTCCCAGCTGGAGCTAGGTTTGCCAACAGTCCCTTATTACAAGGGACACACCTGATTTTTTCATCTCTGTAGATGAAAACTTTCATCTCGGGAGTTGCTGATTGCTGCCCAAAGCAGCAAGAAATACCCCCAACTAATGCAGGTGAGTCCTGCTTAGTATTAATATGGGGAGGAGAGGTGGGGCAGGGGGGCTCAGAAAACAGTCCCTTAATTTTGAAATACAATGTTGGCATCCCTGGAGCTGGGGTGGGGGCAGCTCTGCGGGCCAGGGCCTGGTCAAAGCAGGGAGAGTTGAGGTCAGGGATGGAGCGCAGCGGTTGCAGGAGCCGAGCTGTTAGCAGTCCTCTGCCCAGCTCTCTGCCCTGCAGGGTCCCTGGTGGGTGCGAAAGGGGAGGTGTGGCTAAGTGGAGCAGCCCCAAGTGGGCCCCTGGGCTGGCACAGCGCTCTTCAGGCTGCTCCCACTGCAGCCGTTTGCAGAGGATTCAGCTTTGAGCAGGGGCCCTGCTGCACAGTCAGCCGCCCACACAGGACTCCCTGCCAGCTTCCTGCCCCCTCAGCCCTGGTGGGCACAGTACTGCCCCATGCTCCCTGCAGGTGACCCAGCCACCCCAGGCAGTGGGGGATTGGACTGGGGAGGGGTCACCCCCCTTCCTCTAAAGGCTTCTTGGCACCAAGGCAACCAGCCCTAGCTCCTAGTTAGGGCTGATGGGGAAATTTTCCATCCAGTCTTTTCCCCAGATGGAAAATTGGGCTATTTTCTTTCCCTCACAAGTTTTTCAGTTTTTGTCAAAAAAAGTGAAAAATCAAAAAAAAAAAATGGCCAAAAATTAAGTTTTCAGTGAAAGCTGAAAATGTTTGGTTTGCCAATGAAAATCAAAATTTTCCACTGGGGGCAAGGCCTGTTTTCCAACCACTATTCTCCTAACCCTCAATGAGCAAAAAATGGGCCAGTCAGGTCTTTGAAAAGCCCACTCTGCAGCTGGGGAAACTGAGGCACATAATTAAGGAACTTTGGTAAGGTCAGCCAGCAAGTCTCTGCCAGTGCCAGGAGTTTCTCCTAAGTCCATTGCCTTAACCACAAGACCATCCTCCCCCAACATCTCACCGTGTGGGGGGTAGAAGCATTGACCGCGAAGAGGGGACAGTTCTGGCCCAAGACCCAAATTTTAACAGTATTTAGGGGCCTAATACACTGATGTGCCCAGCCCACAGCTCAGCCTCATCAACCCAGATGCTCACAGGTATTTAGGCTCCTAACTTCCATTGATGTCAGTTGAAGTAGGAGCCTAGATACCTTTGTGATCTGGGCTATAGTCCCATTACCTTAACCACTGCATTGTAACTCCAGCCAGTTCAGCACCATGCCTGTCAGCATAGCTACACCTAGTACTGGCACCTTCATTGCCAAAAGCATGTGGGTAAGTGACTGAGACTTGGTAGAGCTGGGTGCCACTGGCTGCTCTGGTACACGGTATTCTTGTCTGCACACTGGAGGGTGGGGTGGGGTGATAGATACCTGCTTCTAGAGCAGCCAGCGGGGGCTTGGCTTCTAGAAAGGGTTGTGAAGGTCACAGAAATATTAGCAGCCAACAGAAAGTAACAGTCCAACTCTCAGCTTCCTGGCTCTCAGCCCAGAGCACCTCCTCTGGACTACAGGGGGTGTGTGTGGGGGGTCTCTCCCACTACACACAGTGCTGCCGCTTCAGGCAAGGAGTATGGCAGCTCAGTGAGCCACAGGATCACAAAACAAACCCAAATCACTTACCAGTAGGGTTTTGGAACTACTCTTGGTACCAGACACTAGGTCTCAGAAGGATGCCCGTGTCAGCTGTTTCATGTTGATCCTACCTCCTGCTCAAAGCTGGCTGTGGACAAAACCCATTCTACAAAGGGGAAATATGACTGATTTGTTAAAAGGTCAGTTTTTAGGTGGCTCCATCTCACAATGTCTATTTTACCAAGAACAGAGCTTGGGGCAGATCTGTCCTGAATGGAAAAATACAGGTGAGTTTTGACAGTAGGAAGTAATTAAGAGCTTGTAAAACAATAGAATAGTGGGAAACATGAACATGTACAATTCCACTGGCTTAGATCCTATTGGGCTGGAGGAGGTTGAAGGAATTAGCTAACAAACCTCTGACAATTACTGTCCAAGCGTCAGGAGACTGGAACAAGAAAATTTAGTAGCATGTTTCAAAATGGGAAGAAATGCAATCCAGTAAGTCTAAATTTCAGCCTTACCTAAGAAAAAGACATAAGCCACCAAGGATGTAGATCAACATTTTCACTCCTAATTATGTGGTATGATTGAACATGCAACACCTCTCAGTCTCCGTTGAAGCAGATGGCAGTTGCTGGTTCCCAGCCCCTCTGAAAGGGAAGGCTCTTATTGGGGTGCTCAATGGTAGGGTCCCACAGGGGAACATTTTTGCCAACTGACCCATGTTCAGAACAGGAGCAGGAGGAGTACAGACTGTTGGGGAAGATCTCAGATTGTAATGCAGCAAGTACAGAAATAGCTGCATTTAGTGGAGTGTCTGATAGGGTCCCCCAAAGATCTTATAAGCTGGTGAGTGAGCAAGAGCGTCCAACAGGGACTGAAGAAACTGAAGGTGTTGGGTTCTTCTCTATCACTTCCGCACTTCGCTGGGAGGTGGGAGGAAGCCCGCTAATCAGCTAAAGATGACAGGAGCTGACAATGCCTGGGAAGACAGGGAAATATTACCAAGGGCCCTGGAAAGGCTGCAAACATAATAGCCAATGCCATTTCGCACAGCTTCTGAGCAGAAAGGAAGCAATAGCCTGCCCGTGTGCAGGGCTCTGGGGCGCTGCCCCTGCAGTACATCCCTTTTCAGAGTGGGCAGCACAGTCCCAGAGGGGGAGAGGCAACAGGGAGGGAAGTCAGAGAAAAGCAACACAACAAAGGAGTTGGAGTGCTGCTTTGGGTTAGATTCTACCACCCCACCCCAGCCTGAGCGAGAGTACCCTACTCCCCTAGTCCCCCTGAAGGCTCTGGAACTCTTCCTACGATAGGGATGAGTAGCTCCTGAGTGCGGGCAGCAGTGGGAAAGCACTTACCTGGTCCATGCTGGAAGAGCCCCACAAGGATTTACTGTCAGACACCTCATGCAGGGGCCTTCCCACCTTTCTGGAGAAACAGCAGGGAAGGACTGGCCCTGCAGCTGTGCATGCTCTCTCCCTGCACTGTGGTGCTGCAGCCCTACTTCAAATCATAGAATATCAGGGTTGGAAGGGACCTCGGGATGTCATCTAGTCCAACCCCCTGCTCAAAGCAGGGCCAATTCCCAACTAAATCATCCCAGCCAGGCCTTTGTCAAGCTTGGCCTTAAAAACCTCTAAGGATGGAGATTCCACCACCTCCCTAGGTAACCCGTTCCAGTGCTTCACCACCCTCCTAGTGAAAAAGTTTTTCCTAATATCCAGCCTAAACCTCCCCCACTTCAGAACTCAGCGGGGCACAGCGAGGACACAGGCCAGGCTGCTGCCGTGGAAAAGACTGCACTGGCCAGGCATGGCAGCCTAGGCTGTTCACCTCAGAGTGTGCAGCACTTCTTCACCTGGTGATGGGGTGTTCTGGCCCAGGAGGAATGGGATTTAGTGTGAACAGGCATGTTAGTGTCACCCTAAGAGACTGACCCTCCCCCAACAGTTCCCCCATCTCCCCTCAATAGTGCTACAGTTCCGGAAGCACCTGCTGAAATGGGTCACTCATGCAACCAACGGACACGGCTGAACATTTCTGGCTTCGTGCCTTCCCGCCCAAGGATCCCCTCCTCCACCTTCCCTTTCCCCCAGCCCTAGTGACAGCCCAGTCTGAGAGGTGGCCACATCCCAGTTCCATGCAGAGCTCTGGGGACTCTTTCGGTGTCAGTGTGACAGGGCAGGGCTGCAGCAGAGGAGACACAGGAGGAACAGGCAGCAGAAGCAGAGAGGGCAGCAAAAGCAGTTAAGTGTTTAGAAAGAAATGCCACGACCATGCCCCAGCTACTCTTACTGGCACGCAGCTCTCTGCACAGGCCCTGCCTGGAACAGATACTGACGGGGGAGCATATGGCCAGTTCAGAGTTTTATTCAAGTAGGGAAAGTGGGAGGGGAAGTGTGGGAGAACCCATGTCCCCAACCCCAGATCTCTCTCCCCCTGGCTGAGGGGTGGTTCACGTTTCTGTCCCATGCAGCCCCTCAGCACTTCCCTCCCTGGGAGTGGGAGGTCCTGCCCACCCCCCCGATACCCGCTGCATGATGACTGGGCCTAGTGGCCCCTCACTGCTTGGGGGTCACTTGCTGTCGGAGGTAGAGATCGCGGATCTCACAGAGGCTGCTGCTCACACTGCTGAGGGCCTTGGCGATGATGCGCAGGATGGAGGCAGTTTCCCTGCGGCTTTCCGTGTACTCCCTGCGGAAGGCTCGCATCTCCTGCACCAGCTGCTCATTGGATTGGAGAATCCGCTTCTCCACGGGGCTAAGATGGCCATTCTCCAGCCCCCCCTCCTGCAGCGCCACAGATACAGGGGTCACGCTCTCACTTGCGTTACAATCATTCAGGTGCTCTGCCTCTTGGTCAAAGATAATACTCGTGAAATCTGTGCCCAGGGGCTCCTGCTGCCCTCCCAGCTCGCTGATGGCGAGTTCATTTTGCGAGGGATTCTGCGGGCTCTGGCTCCAGCCTTCACATGGATCGTCCGGCACATGGCCAGCACTCCTGAGGAGCCGCCTCTCTCCTCCCCGCGTCACTTGCTGATGGATGACCTCAGTGGAAGGCGTATGGAATGGTTCTGGCTTCACGTCCACTGGCTCCTCCTTTACTGGCTCCTCCTTCACACCTGCCCCTGGCAAAGAGGATAGATCAGATCAGACTGGAAAGAGAAAGTAGGCAGCAGGCCAGAACCAGGGTCACCAACAGAGGGCAGCTTCTGACCTGGACATTGGCCACCAGGGAAAATATCCGTGCTTTGGCTCTGGATAGCCAGGGTTACGTTTGAACCCCACCCCCACCAAAGCAAGACCAGAAAAACCCTCTGTCTCCCACTCTCCTCCAACAGGAGGGCTGGGGGTCAGCCACAGCACTGTCTTCCAGTCAGCTACCATTAAATAAGGGGGGTAGCCATGTTAGTCTGGATCTGTAAAAAGCGACAAAGAGTCCCGTAGCATCTTATATTTTCATTAAATAAGGGTTTCCAGTCCTCCCAGTTGCAGGGAGAGCCATGTCCCAGGCCTGCCCCCCTCTGCCAATTTCACCCCATGCCAGAACAGGCAGCATTGCACAGTGAAGCCATCTAGGCTACGCAGACAACGACATACATGTAGTGGATTTAATTTTTCCCCCCATTCCAATTTTAGTATCTAGTACATTAACTCCCTTGTGAAGCAGCTAGAGGTGCCACCCACTCCCTCCCATACCCAACACAAACCCCACAAAAGCTTGAGACATTTAACAGCAATGTCCTCAGTGGATCAAGAAAACTATTAATTAGCTGAGGATCGTATACAATTGGCTACCATGGGTGCAAGCCTACAGTAATGGAGATACCACAGAAGAGACTATTCCCCCTTCTCTCCCACTAGTAGCACTGGATGGTGGTTGTGGTGGGAAGGGGCACTTTGGTAAAGGGGTGGGTTGGTAAAGGGGTGGGTTAACGGTAGTAGTGGAAGGCTGGTACCCAAGGGGACAGAGGTAGACTGCACTGTGTGGCTTGTGGCAAGGGTAAGGTATGTGCTTGCAGATGGAGGAGCAGGGAGTGGTACGTACTGTTTGTTAGGTGGCTTAATTTCATTTCCTTGCTTTTGTGTCAGGTACGTTGCGTGTGTAGCAACCTTAACTGCTTACCAGCAGAACTGTGTGTATGAATTTCCTAGCATTTTTTAAGTGGTGTTGTGGGAGTGGAGGGTTACACACAAAGGGGGATGGAGGCAGTGGCGTAGCCAGGTGGAGGGAACAGGGGGAGCGATCCAAAAAAAGGCACCACCCACTGCGGCGCTTTCACTGACGGGGCAGTGCTTTTACTCACCCGGCAGCGCTCCCGATCTTCGGCGGCACCTTGGCAGCAGGACCTTCACTCGCTCTGTGGGTCTTTGGCAGCATTTCCTTCAGTGCTGCCGAAGACACCCGGAGCGAGTGAGGGCCCGCCACCGAAGACCTGGAGCGCCAGCGGGTGAGTAAAAATTAAAAAGGCGCCAAGATGCTCAGTGGGGGAGCGGCCACAGCCCCGCTTCCCCACAGCTACGCTACTGGATGGAGGAGAAACGAGAGCAGATGATACAGATGTTTGAAGTACAGCTGCTGAGAGAGAATACATTTTAAATAATTCAGCAGCTGCACATGAGCCCTTCTCAGCTGTAGGATAGAATCTGACAGGAAAAACGTCATGGAGTCAGTCAATCTAGTCTGCGTGCACTGTGCACGAGCTTTCAGTTATAATGTGAACAGCTAAAACTGTCCTTCCAACACACCTCCATATTCCACGCTGCACCAGCTGTACCCACGACCCACCCCTCTATATTTTGTGGAGCCAGACAGGGCTTATTGAAGAGACAGCATCAACAAAGTACCAAGGAAAAATTTCAACCAGAGCCCGAAAAAACATTTCTCACTAAAATATTTTGAGAGAGAAAAACCCACCACAGCACGACGAAGAACATCCCGGTGGCCTGAAAGTGACTCCATGTGAGCTGTCACACCAATAGCCTGCCCACCTGCTTTTCCAGGAGAGGAAAAAAACCCTCACAAACCTACAACCCCCAAAACAGGAATGTGGTCCCATTTTAGAATGCAACCTCAACAATGGAGCTTGACCTGAAAGCACCCTTTGAATGCCCTTCACAAGTGTCAGCTAATTAAGGCCCCATTCATGCAAGTCTTCACTAACATGGAGTCCTATGTGAAGCCCTCATCAAGTCAATGGGCTTATGCAGGATCTGTGCTAAAAGACTGCAGAGTGGCTGCCAAAGATCTTGGGGAGGTAGGGAGGCAGCTACACCATGTCACAGAAAGGCAGAGGGCAGAAAAGTTAAGTGATTTGCTAGGGTTACCATACGTCCGGTTTTTCCCGGACATGTCCGGCTTTTCGGCAATCAAACCCCCGTCCGGGGGGAATTGCCAAAAAGCCGAACATGTCCGGGAAAATGCCGGCTGGGCACTTCCCCTCCCGCGGCGGCTCTGCTCCTCCCCTGACTCTTCGGCTCTGTTTAAGAGCCGAGCTGCCCGAGCGCTATGGG